ATGTGATATGTTAACCTTCAAAATTCGACCTATAAAAAAGTAAATTTAACTTTAACCTAATTTATAGTCAAATCTATTTCTAATTTTATAAGTTAAACTTAAACTTACTTATATGTTTTGTTGAGTGAGTAACTAACTTCGTTTTTTTATAGATGATACCGTTAACTTTTAGACACACGATTAATCATTCATCTTATTAAAAATAATAATTATTACTTAATTTATTGTCAGTTATTTTATCAACTTTAAGCATATTTATATCTTACGTGTTAGGGTTGCGGGTTAGGTATACCCTTTACCCTTCGATATACGTCACATATCGGTATGGCATGCCCACGCGCATACGGATACTCTCTGCATACACTAAGGAAATCCTTCACGGAGTCTACGGACGAAAAGAGTCCTACTCAGACAAGACTGGGTCGTCAATGTATCGTGTAGGGTCTGATGTCTCCGAGTTCTACTTGGAAACCGCCTGACCTGCGATATAAAAGGGACCTCTTGAGGAGGACCTAGGGCATCAAATCTCAGAGCCAACACAACCCCCACAGCCTCCAAAGTCGGAGCCTGCAGGAGCCAAATCGCCGGGGATCTAGTCGAACCAGCTTGACTACGATCTCGCCGGATCCATCGAGTTCCATTGTTCCCTTTGTAACCTGTGTTTTCCATCATATAATCCCACATCAACTGGATTAGGGCTATTACCTATTAGGGGGCCTGAACCAGTATAATCTTCGTCTTTTGTTTGCTTGATGTCGTATTACGTGGACCCTTGTACCAATGTACCCCAATACCCTCTATATCCGGTCTACGGGAATCACCCGTCGACATTACGCATTTGCAAAAAAAAAAAGATTAAAACGATTTATCAAACGTGTGTCTAAAAGTTACCAGTGTCATCTATGAAAAAAAACAGAATGAGCATTAAGTGGGATATGCTTATCTTTCTTATTAAATATTTATAAACTTCAAAGAGTAGTTATTTTTTAGACGACACACGAAGACAAAGGGACGTCCTTTCGAGGGATAAATACACTTTCCCTCGCATTACTACTACTACTACAAAAGCCTTTCTTTCCATGAGCTGAATTAATTTCTTGCGGCCATGTCAACGTTTCCCATGTTGATGCACTATGTGTTCAAGTTTCAACGTTGGACCGGCCAGCCTATTATCAGTTTGGCACGGGTCAACGCTAGCTAGCCCACGTACGCATGTAACGCATGCATGGACGACATATCTGGAAGGAAAGAAGAACGAAAAAAAAATCCAGCCACATTTTGATCAGATGACTTTGCGAGTGGTCCACGGGCCATGGTCAACCGCGACGACCAAGCTGGCGCAAGTGACTTTTCGACGTCAAAGTCAAAACTCACGCCGCCCACGAGCACCGACAGATTGCAAACAAATGGCTTAGCTTTTTGCCCATTCAATTCCAGAGAGTTCTGGTTCGATCGATGTTAATTGACACATTCTCTTCTTCCATCCCAGATTCGTTTAATTAGGTTATTGGATAGATTGCTGTTTTGAACAAAATGAAAGAACATAATTAGATATATCGAACTTATATCTATTATCTTAAAAAAACTTGATGTTTTTCTGGTTCACACAGGTGAACACAACCACCTTCTTCCATCGCATTCGCTGTAATTAAATGGCAATGGAAGCTTAAGCCATACTCTAGCTTGGTCGATCGGTCAGCTGCAGCTGCTAGCTTTTGTCTTCCAAAGTAGTGGCTATTGTTTTCGAAATTACCAAATCAAATTGAAATCGGAACTTCGTGAGTTCTGGGGTTATATCACTTATCATCAGCGGAACTGACACATACTTTTATCTCACGCGAGTTCATGCGCGTCACGTCGAAAACGAGTGGCAAAACCACTAGCAGCAGTAGATCAGACCAGAATCAGATGGGATCCCATTACCGGCAATAAGCAGAACAGATCAGATGCTGCTGGTCATGGTCGAAGCAGCCGTCCGGTGCGGCGGCGGCGGCGGCGGCGGTGGCCGTCGTGGTCACCCGCGCATGGACGCACCGGGGGGGTTGCGGGTCAGACTCGGCGATCGGATCCAGCCGCGCGCGTGCAGGCGCGCACTGAAGCCGCCTCCCGGTAAATTCGGCGGCCGCCGGCACGCGCGCGTCGTGGAGCGGCGGCGGCGGCGACGGCGGCGGAGGGGGGCGGCTCGCCTGACGGCTACCGCTCGCTCGGCCTGTCAAGCACCATTTTTTCGCCGGCCCAAACATGAGGCCCATCAAACAAGTCAAAAGCACGTGAATTGTTGGGAGGCCGAACAACACGGAGGCCCATTAATTTCAACGGCCCAGTTCCTAAGGCCGTTCTGGACTTGAAAGGAATTCTTTTGAACGAAATAAAACGAAAATTTTTCGTCCGACTTCAAAGGAATAAGTTCACTTTGGGTCCCTCTATTTGTTGCTCAGTCCGATTTTCGTCCCTTGGTCGCAAAACCGGATACGAAGGGTCCCCCAAGTTACAAAACCGTGCAAAAAAAGGTCCCTCGGCAGTATTGCGCCCGGTTTTGGATGACGTGGCGTCTACGTGGCTCCCTTTGACTAGGTCCTCGTCCCACGTGGCATTGACGTGGCGCTTACCTGACAATTGGATCCTTGGAAAATAATAAAAAACCGTGGGACCCACCTGTCAGCTACACAAAATAATAAAAAAGGTGGGACCCATGTGGTCCCACATGTCAGCCTCCTTCTCTCTATCCTCCCTTTCTCCCTCTCCCGTACACAGCAAGAAGGGCAAGCGGCGGCGCAGAAGGGGTGGCGGGCGGAGTGACGGCGGGCGGCGGGCGGCGGGCGGCGGGCGGAGGGGCGGCGGGCGGTGGGCGGTGGGTGCAAGGGCAGCAGCGCAGAGGGGGTGGCGGGCGGCGGGCGGTGAGCGGCGGGGCGACGGGCGGAGGGCAGAGGGGCGGCGGGCGGTGGATGGAAGGGCGGCGGCGCAGAGGGGGTGGCGGGCGGAGGGCAGAGGGGTGGCGGGCGGTGGGCGAAAGGACGGCGGGCGGCGGGCGGAGCAGAGGGACCGCTAGTGGAAGTGGAGTGGTGGCCGGCGGTGGGCGGAGCGACGGTGCCATGGCGGTGGGAGGGCGGAAGAGGAGCGGCGACTCGCCGCCCCGCCTCGCTCGCCCGTTCTCGACATCGATGCGGCCATCTCTGCCCCTCCACCACCGTCGACGCCTCTCCCCCCTACCGCCGACCCCTCCCCGTCCACTAGGGCTCACTCGCAGGTGCAGCTAGGGGGCGGAGACGGTCGCTGGCCGCCGTCCGCTGTGCACCTCTTCCTCCGCCCGTCGCCGTCGAGCCCTACCCACGGCTCCCCGCCGTCGAGCATCACCGGATTGTAGAGGGAGTAGACGGGGATGCCGACTAGCGTGGAGAGGTCGGCGAGCCGCCGCTACTCTTTCGCCCTCCCATCGGCTGCCGACCCCCACGCACCGCCGCTCCTCTCCCTCCCTCCCGTTGGCCGACTCGCGCCGCCTCTTCTTCCACCGGCCTCCCCGACGAGCTCGCCTCCTCCCTCGCAGCGTTCTCGTCACGCCGCCCGCCGCCCGTCATCTCTCCGCCTCCACCCGCCGCCCCTCTGCTCTGCCCTCTGCCCGCCGCCCGCCATCCCTCCGCCCACCGCCCGTCGCCGTCGCTCCGTCCACCGCCCGCTGGCCGCTGCTGCTCGTCCTTCTGCTTGCCGTGTAGGGGAGAGAGAGAGGGGATAGAGAGAAGAGGGAGACTGACATGTGGGACCACATGGGTCCCACCTTTTTTTAATTTTTTTTGTGTAGCTGACATGTGGGTCCCACGGTTTTTAATTATTTTCCCGAAATCCAATTGCCACGTAAGCGCCACGTCAATGCCACGTGGGACGAGAACCTAGTCAAAGGGAGTCACGTAGGCGCCACGTCATCCAAAACCGGGCACAATACTGCCGAGGGACCTCTTTTGCACGGTTTTATAACTTGGGGGACCCTTCGTACCTGGTTTTGCGACCAAGGGACGAAAATCGGACTGGGCAACAAATAGAGGGACCCAAAGTGAACTTATTCCGACTTCAAAGGAATAAGTCTATTAGGCATGTGTAGTGTTCTGTTTTGCTGTTGTTAGCTGTAGAAAGAGAAACGCATGTGTGCTAACACACCGTCGTCATCGGGTCTGTTCGGCTGGTATTTTCTATAGCTGCATGGCAGCAGGGGCGGACCTAGAAATGGGTCAAGGCCTGGGCCGCCCCATGGGAATTTTGGCCCAACACAAAGTTTACATGGCTGAAAGGAGGCAAAATAGACTTATTCCTTATAAAAATGCATATATCTCATTGGGCCTTTTATCCTAGGCCCTAGGCCGTGGACCAGCTTGCCCAGGGCTTGGGTCCGCCCCTTCATGGCAGCTAGCTACAGCCACAGCACTGCCTCAGGAATGACAGCCATTAGGGCCATCGTCTTGCTGACCGATTGACGAAATCTTTGCAGGAGTACTATATTCGCCACCTCGACGACAACCCCATCAGGCCGTCACCTCCAGCGACGAACGCGAGCACCTTCGCCGCTGCCTCGAAGCTGCCATCGAACGCCGCAACACTTAGGAACATGGAACATAACACATGCGTCATTTGGCTTGTCTCGCCTCCGCTGCTGCCTGCAAGGAGAGAGAGAGAGGAAGAGAGGAGAGGGAGAGGTTGGAAAGGAGAAATGAATGTAACTGACACATGGGGCGCAAGCATCGAGTTAGCAAGTCTAACCACGGTAAACTTATCCGCTTTCAAAATCACCGAAATGAGTTGATTTATACTGGTTTTATATGTTGAGGGAGGCGTTATACCCGGTTTTACGGTTAAGGTATGTGATTTCATATAGAGGAAGAATTGAGGGCTTAAAGTGAACTTAAAATAGATATAATGGGGGTTGTAGTTGGGCCTGAACTCGGCCCACAGTGACAGCACGCAGCCTCGACGGATTCCTCTCTCTCCTCCGCTCCACTTCGTCTCCTCCCCCCGTCTCGCTGCTCTGAGTCGCGTCGCGTCTCCCTCCCGCGCGACGGATCCGAGAGCCCTAAACCCTAGAACTCCCTCGCCCTCGCGTCGGCGCCATGGAGGACGAGGAGATGGAGAAGAAGGTGCAGCAGTACCTGCAGCGGAAGGGGTTCCGCCTCACCGAGCTCGCGTTGCAGGAGGAGCGCAACCGCATCTCCACCTCCTCCGTCTCCGACGTCGCGCTCGCCAGGTACACCTGCTCGCCGCCGGGCCCTTTCCAATCTCCTCTCCTCTCCTCCGCCAGCTAGCTGGGCGAGCCCCCCTAACTCTGCCCCGTTGCGACTCGGACCTCTCGGATCGAGGAAACCTAGGTAGTGGATTTTGTGCAATTTTGTCCAGCTCGCTTTTGGGCATCGAGGTGCCATATCACACGTGCCCGTGATTGGGTTGCGGGTGCGAGTTTTTCCGCACGAGGAAATAGTTTGCGGCATTTTTGGAGAGCTAAAAGTTGCTTGATTGAGGGTTGGGAATTGCTTTGTGGACGTAGCAATGAGTAACACCAATTTTGAACGATGAACTCTCTACTGGTAATTCCCATGATGATAAGGACATTTCAGGGCAGTATGCAGCTTATGCTTGATAATGGGTTAAGTAGTGTCCGTAGATGGTTCTACTGCACTTATATCTAGATTGTAGTTAATACCTCAAGTGATTAAACTGATTTTTGGGTCACTAAGATGCCACTTTATAACCTTTTTTTTCCAGATTACAATAATTAAAACTAAATTTTCTTGTCATATACTGAGAAAACTTTAATATTATGGAAGTATGCTTTGTTGATAAATTTAGTCATACTATTTTCATATATTGAAGACCAGATATACTAGAGAATATCTCTGTTCATAAGTAATGTGGTTTGACTGTATGTATTATGCGACGTCACCTTTTGTTTTGATTGGAGAGAGTAATTCTTCCATCTTTTCTGTCTTTTTTTGTCAGCTTCCAATAGTTGTGGCATCCATTATTTCACAATAATTCTGGCTATGGTTTATTTTTCTTATAATCCTACCGACTAATGCCTTTTGGTTGCATTATCTTCTGCAATGATAGGTCGGAAAATGATCCGGCAAGATACTATGATGGTTATAGTAAACTAAGAACATGGGCATACAGTTCTCTCGATCAGTACAAGGTGTGCTACACATACATAGATTGGACTTCACCTTTTGATCTTGCAGTACATTTTATTGTGCTTCACAATCAAACATCGTTAGCTAAAATTATGAGTGATTTCTAACTGTCCATTTGTTACATAGTCTTTCTTTAATGAGTGATTTCATGTTATTTATGGATAATTACTTTCATGTTTGCATGCTAGCTTCAGATGGAACACTTTTAGGATTATATTGTCATAAACCAAAGCTTCTAGAATTATACTTTATTGCCTGCATGCTAACTTCTGATGGAGTACTTTCCTAGCAACTCTTTGTGTTCTCTGCATGCATTCACAATATGGGCCATTTTACAAAGCTAAAGTACCTGTCCAGATTCATAACTAAAATTTGCTATATTTTGGGACAGAGTACTATATCATAAACACTGAATATATTTTTGCCTCCGACGGACATGTTAATATTAGATTTCAATTTGTGCATATTTCTGTTCTTAAATTTGGTTATATGTATACTATGTTTCTGAATTTTCATCCCTTTTTTGTAGCATGAATTACTCCGTGTCCTTTACCCAGTGTTTATCCATTCCTTCATGGATCTAGTGGCAGAGGGACATACACAGGAAGGTATTGTTAGTTGGCAGATAGATTAGATAAACCCTCTTTGTCATGTCATGTTTTCTTTTAGTTTATTCTGGGCAATTTCTTTCCTTGCGGGCCCTGCAGCTCGGTCCTTTTTCCACACGTTCCATGAAGACCATGAACTGATGCATTCTAGGGATCTCCAGAAACTGGAAGGCATTCTTTCTCCTTCACATTTGGAGGTCAACACTTTTAGTTCTCTTACATTGTAACATTCTGTTCTTATTGAAGATCTTCATTTATTTATTTGGTTGTATCTTCTCATGATTCATACACTGCGCTTATCATTCTGCATGCTGTATATTTCAGGAAATGGAACTGGCCAGATCTTTAAGGAAAAATCAATTCAGAATTAAGTTATGTGAGGTTGTATCCACATAATAATTTGCTGTATTTCCATTTATCTCTTTGAACTTTGATTCTGAGTTGACCCTTTTAATAATTTAACCAATTTATGAAGACAAAACGTTTTGACAGCTTAATATTTGTTGTTTTGATGATATATCCAGGTGTTTTTGTTTTTTTACCACCCTTTTCAATTTATTGGCTTAGCAATGTTAGAGACCGAGCACAAAATTGGCACCATTTAGTCAGTTAGTCATTACTTACTGTTACTCATTGATCCTGATAGGCAGCTAATGTCAAATAAAAATATGATTATTTTGATTTGTATTGACTGGAACTAGTGGACCTTTTCTTTTCTTTTCGTTTTTGAACTATCCTTGTTATAAGGTTACAGCAAGATCAAGTTTAATGTTCTTCCTGAGTTAAAGTTTTCACATTTGATGTTCTTCCACCATTTGAGATAAAAAAGTTTAATGACTTTCCTGAGATAAAGCTTTCATATTTTGTCTCCCAGATAGCTTTTATAATTTCAAATTTCTTGTCTGCTGCAATGTTATTTAAAAAAAAACACATCTCGTGATCCAATTATTGAATTTGGTTGCAGTATTCATATGAGTTACTCCTCCAGTATCTCCAGAAAACACAAGCTCTTGTGGTTCTTGGAATAATAAATGAACGCACAACTTTTGACGGTAACATTCCCCAATATCATTCAGATTAATACCCTAATTTCTGTCATGCATTTTCTCGTTTACACTTCTCTTGTCTACTGTGCCACTTATCCCTGTTCAATATTGGCAGTATCCCCTGGTCAGCCATCTTTAATCTCTGATGACACGGATGTTGTTGCTCTAGTTGGAACAAAGAAGGATTTGGCAAAACAAATAAATCTGAAGGAGGTGCATTGGGGGGTATGGTCTGCATCAGTCTTGTTGACCGCTATTGCCTGTTCTATCTATTTGTTGATGATTTGGATTCAACAGATCGAAACAATCCACACCAATCAGTTATTTGATGGGATTCTATCATTTTCATTGAACTTTTAACTATGCTCAGGCATTTTATTTTTGTAAAATTAAATTCTGGTATGCAGTTGCTTGAAGATTCAGTTGAAGAGCGCATGGAGAAAACACTTTTAGAATCAGATAAAACTGAAGCAGAAAGCAAGGATGCAGATGCCGAAGATAACAATAAGGTACTCTTTATCGTATCGAAGATTTGTTAAGTTTACTACCTATATCCTCAGCCACTGATAGAAGAGCCATCTATTTCTTTTTGTTTGGGCCAGGCTATTAGCAGCTTGTTGTCTTATACTTCCTTAAGCAGTCCATAGAAAATATGCATTGCTTAGCTCCACTCTGCATGTTCCTGTGCTTCCCAGTTTTGAGTCCAAATTGATGTTTCTTAGTATTTTAGCTTCATATTTTTATCTTCTTATTTTTGCTGCAGAGAAAATCTTCGGAAGGTGGAAAGCAGGGAGGTTCTGTTAAAAAGGTCAAAAAAGATAAGATTGCAGGAGCCACAGGGAAAACCAATAAATCTGAAACAAGCATAGTTTCGGTGGCACCTCGTGTGAAACCAGAGCTTACACTTCCAGTGATGTACACTTAAATCCCTTCATATCTCTCTTAGGAAAAATCTAGTTTGGTCGTTTGACTTTGATATCTAGCCTGGTCTCTAACCTAAAGTTTTTAAAATTCTCCATCCTGTGGATTTTTCAGGACATAATAAGTTATTTTAAATGGATTCGTCATTCCAACTTAGGACAATTTTAATTTTAATTTTATTTTCTTTTTTTTTTGCCCGTTGCGTTTTCCTATCTGTGATATTCTGATTATGTTTCCCATTTTTATGCCAGTCCATATTAACCATGTTTTGCTTCAATTCATGCACCTACTATTCCATTTGTTTTCTTTATGAATTTCTAATCCAGGACAAGGCCAGAACTTATTCAAAGCTGTCCTGTACATACACTATGGACCAACATATATTGTTCAACACAACATGCTTCATTACACATGCTGCTCAATGTTTGTTCTGCTAGTTTTTTCTCTCTCTAAAATTACCTGGTTAAGCCAACTCAAATAGTATGGAAGGTGGAATTGTATCCACCGGCCAATTTTTATTCGTTAGATTGTTGATGACGATTATGTGGACCTGACTCTTTGCCAGTTTGCTTAACTGCAGTACATTTCAACACTTCAAAATTACTTTTTGTAAGACACTGAACAAAGGCATGTTGCCTTTTTTGCTTTTCAAGAAATCAACAAAATTGACCATCCAATCCTCTTAGTCATGCAACTTATTTCTAGGTGGCTCATCTATCTACATTTTTATCTGGGAAGAAGTATTTCAACCTTGGGTTGTAAGAATCTGAGATATATTTATCCTTTTATTTCAGTCCTGTTGAAGTCGAGCAGTCAATTCTTGAGGATTTGCGAAACCGTGCACAGTTGAATAGCCTGGCATTGCCATCTGTTAGCTTCTACACATTCCTTAATACTCATAATGGGTAAATTTCTTTGTGGCTTAATATCTGACACTGCCAATTTGCATCCTTTTCTCTGATCATTATCTGTGGACATAGGCTAAATTGCTCATCAATTTCACATGACGGCTCTTTGGTTGTGGGTGGATTCTCTGACTCATCAGTGAAGGCTAGTCCTTTTTGTCCCTTTTTGGTACTTTGTTCTTATATATGTGATTTCTGTATTATTTTTGTAACAATAAAACTTTGTGTTCACCAGGTTTGGGATATGTCAAAGATTGGCCAACCGCCGAAAACATGTTAGTTGTTCTTCACTACTTAATGTTGTTTGATTCCACCTTGTGTTATGCTGAAATACTTCCATTATGTGCTGAAATGTTTTGATAATTGCCTTAAGTTTACAGAACAACATAGTTTTATTCATTTCATTTAGTTGATGTTACAACTTACAAGTACTGAAATATTTTTTCCATATTAATGCTTGTGTGGATCTGTCATTCAAAAATGTCTTCTCGACCTACCGACATATAATGATTTTTTGTCATACTAGTGCACTAAGTTATGACATAGCAGTATACTTGATTCCATAACCTGTTCAGGAATCAGGACTCTTGAATAGTCTTAGCATGTCAATTATCCTAAGTCCTAACATGAGAGTGTTTTGTTTTATATAATGGTGGTATTTGCTGATTGAAGAAACTTTAATTTTCAGCTAGTCCACAAGGAGAGAATGGACTTTCCCAGGGTGAGCGCACATCAGCATCAGATTATGGAAAAAGACCTTATACATTATTCCAAGGTCATTCTGGACCAGTTTATTCCGCTGCATTTAGCCCATTCGGAGATTTTCTCTTGTCATCATCCTCAGACTCAACAAGTAAAACATCCTTACATTTTGCTTATTTTCATATAGTTTGTTTTCCTTTTCGTTTTTCAACTGAACATATCGTTTTCATATATATTTTTTATTCCTTACAGTTCGACTATGGAGTACCAAGTTGAATGCTAATCTTGTTTGCTACAAAGGACACAACTACCCTGTTTGGGATGTACAAGTATGTGATTAACCTTTTTTTTTTGTGTCACATGTGCAAGTGCAACATATCTGTGGTGCTTTTACTTTCATGAACTGTTTAAACGCCTTGTGTTTGTATTGAAAAGAAAAATGATTGTGTGATTCGCATAACTTAAATCAGAATTGAGCTGATCTATGGAAGCTAGTGTACTGATCTCTTAGGCATTACAACCAGTTTTTGAATTACTGGTTGCAGCTTTTGAGACAGACTATGTACAACTATTCTGAGCTTCAAACACAGATCATGTCATAAAATAAGCTTTTGCCATTTGAGTCTGTTGTTTCATCTTGGTATGTTGGCCATTGCTGTTAAATAATGAGACCTTATTAAGGATCCCACTGCCTTCAGTTTTCAATATGTAAATAAAAAATTAGGTGGCAATGGATGCCTCCAGATTATATTGTTCAATCAATATGCATTGCCTGCTATTGCATCAGTGCTTATTTTGGTGCATGAGGTGTGAATATATTACATGAACTTGCGAGGTGGTTGCATTATAATACACAAACTTGTAAAACATTCGTTCCGGTGCACAAACTTGAGGTTTGTGTGAACCAAGGTCAAAAGGGCAAAATATGGCTAATCTTGCTGAGTTGAGTGTTGATTAGGATGCCATGTAAGCATGCATGTTAGGACTATGCCATATACATATGCATGTACTGAGTAAAACATAGAACAAGACATACTGATTGAACAAAGAAAGACATATAGCAAACCGATAAAGGATGCAAGGGATACAAAGGAAGGACAAAGTGGAAACCAAGTACAAGGTTATTTGCAAATATAACATGTATCATGCCCTCCTCACATGTGCACGCCATGTCCTAATGAGCATCCAACTTGGTAATAAGTTGCCATGCCCTTTTGGCCTTGGTTCACACGCACCAGACAAGTTCATGCACCAAAATGAACGTTTAATAAGTTTATGTGCCCTCCTCACATGTGCACGCCATGTCCTAATGAGCATCCAACTTGGTAATAAGTTGCCATGCCCTTTTGGCCTTGGTTCACACGCACCAGACAAGTTCATGCACCAAAATGAACGTTTAATAAGTTTATGTGCTGCACCCCCTTGACAGGTTCGTGTACCCCCTTGTGCTCTCCCTTTTTGTAATGTATCCCTAGCCAGTTTTTCATTTTCAATGTTCTGCATGATGGAGTAGTTTTATGGGGTTATGCACCCTGTTAAAAAGCTTATGATCAATTTTTACTGTCCCAACTGCCAAGTTTTCTGATTCTGTTGTTGTAAACATTGTGCTATGATACATGTTGATACATTTGCTTTTTTCTTTTGTCAGTTTAGCCCAGTTGGTCATTATTTTGCTAGCGCTTCTCATGACAGGACTGCTAGAATTTGGTCAATGGATAAAATCCAGCCTTTGCGGATAATGGCTGGACATCTCTCTGATGTTGATGTAAGTGTATTTCTGGTTCAAATCATTTGCTTATATTGGAGCACTTGATGCTGGATAGATGCTTATTCTTTAATGCTTTGTGCTGATGCCTGCATATTCTTACTGAGCTTTATCTACTACATAATATTTGGCTGACAGTGTGTGCAGTGGCATGTTAACTGTAACTACATTGCCACCGGCTCTAGTGACAAAACTGTAAGATTATGGGATGTTCAAACTGGTGAATGTATACGGATGTTCATTGGCCATAGGAGTATGGTTTTATCATTGGCTATGTCTCCTGATGGGCGATACATGGCCTCCGGAGATGAAGATGGAACCATCATGATGTGGGATCTCTCTTCTGGTCGGTGCGTTTCACCACTTGGGGGACACAGCTCTTGTGTGTGGTCACTTGCTTACAGGTAATCATTGTTTGTTGCTGCGGGTAAATAATAGCTTTAATCCACATTGTTTACATATAAGAATCGGCTTAACCGATTCTTTTATCCTTGTTGAGAGAAATTTGAAGGGCTATCTTGTGAGACCTTTTGACAGTGACAGTTTGTTATCCCCTTGAATATCTGGTTTGAATTTTTATTCTTGAAAAAAACTAAGAATATCAGTACATATTTCAGAGAGTTATTGCATAGGCATGTCAACCTTGCAGCCCACTCAGTTGTTGGTTTCAATTAGTTTCTTATGAAACCTATTGTTTGAATGAGCCTGTAAATGTGTATTATGCCTTGCTTCCTAAGCTACTTAAGGGCTGCATTTTGATGCCGCCTTTATTCGGAGGACGCTTTCCATAAATGGTGTATACACATTCCTGGACTCTGTTTATGTATGTTCATTTGTTATTCCTTTCAGCGAGAAGTTATAATATGCTGTCCTGTGATGTCATGCAGAGCTCTCTTATTTAACTTGTTCTGCCACTGTTGTAGTTGTGAAGGGGCATTGCTTGCATCTGGATCAGCCGACTGCACTGTGAAACTCTGGGATGTTGCCTCCAGCACGAAGGTCCTTAAGACAGATGATACGTGAGTTAGTTTTGAACTGCTCATAAAGATGCTTTATACATATAAATCATTGCCTTACTCTTGTTTGTAAAATATACTTACAGCTCAACTAACCGGCTGAGGATGCTCAAAACTCTCCGTACAAAATCAACTCCTGTTTATACTCTGCGGGTGAGAATCTCTCGGTCCATGCATTATGTTGCATAAGTTAAGGCTGTTATACTGTATGCAATTTAAATGAAACTGCTTTCTTGATGTTGTAGTTTTCTCGGCGAAATCTTTTATTTGCGGCTGGTGCTCTCTCACTTGGCTCCTAAGCTTCTGTATGTTCTGTAGAATACAACTACCAAACATTCTTTCAGTTTTATCTCAAGTGAAGTTAGTGCCTAGTGAGTAGTGAGCCTGCTTTTAAGGTTAATCTGTAGCACGCGCGTATTGTAATTCGTTCCAATGTTTGTTGTCTTGTGACTTTGTAAGTTGTAACAATCGCCTTATTTAAATCATGTAATTCTTTTTCTGGCGGTGAAAAACCAAAAGGAGGTGATGGGTACTGCTGGAAGGAAGAATTATAAAGAGGTAAACAACGTGGCTAATTTTTTTTGTCAGAATTATTGATCTTCGAAAGCATACGGAGTGGATATATATGGTTACTGTTTGTATTACTGTATCTGCATGTTTACTATTTGGGCTTGTGGCCTAGGAGGCTAGGACGCGTCCTTTCGGCTAGCTGCTTGTGTCAAAAGGGTTGAGCAACACACCCACATGGCCTATTTCTTTAGCTATTTCTTTAGCTAGGGATGAAATGCTCTCTAAAAATGCTTTGGCGTGATAATGATAAGTACAATGTATTTGGAAGAAATAATTGAATGCTAGTGATAAATAATCTGAAACAGAGGGAGTGTAACCCAATGTAAGGTAAGTGCTTGGTTAACACAATATCTAGTTATCAACTGCATTAGTGAAGACTGAAGAGTGAAGACCAATCGGCTTAGAGCAAGTACAAATGTACAAGAAGGCTATAAGCTGCTGAAAGCGTGGAGAATGAGAAGAGGAGAGAAGAAAAGCGGCTTCTAAATTTAAAGTCAGATGCAGCACAAGTGTGTATCACAGGTGGACCAATTATTAATGATATAATATATATTTATATAAAATTATTTTATGTGTAGGTTATTAGATTAGTTATAAGATGATGTGTCAATTTTTAGAGCTTGTAGTTGACTATTCCGTTAAACTTGCTCTTACATATTACCTTACAATCAGGAGCAAAGGGAAAAAAAGTCTTAATAGGTTAGCATCAGAAAATAGTAATGGATCAAGTGATTTCTGCGCATACCCTTCGCTGCAATACCATTTTTTCTTCTTAAGAAACAGGTTAAAACCCGGCTTTTATATATCTATCTATATAGCGTAGTTCATCTCATCTCATCAGGACCACAAGCTTTTCTCATCAACATCACAAGAATTCATCTATTATCCAACATGATGTAGGTACCAACATTACTATTGGTAAGATATCTATGCATCCATATAGCTAGCTAATTAATGGGGAAATGGCAACACTTTAGATAATAATGGAAAGATAAATTTCCCTACATAACACTACGACTTTTGTAGTTTCAGCATTTAAAACACTGCAAAAGTCAATCTTTGGGGCCGGAAAGACACTTTCGAAATATGGATATTTGTCGTTGGACACCAAAACCATTAAAAGTATACATTTTCGGTTGAATAAGAGAGAGAAATAGTGTGAGAGGTAAGAAATACCCCTAGCCCCACAAGTCAGTCCCCCATCTACCTTCTCTCTTTCTTCCTCTCCCCTCCCTTCCCCAACGCGGCACCGGCTCCCTAGCCCTGCCGTGGCATGGCTCCAACCTTCACTGCACTCCGACCACGGTGACGGTTTCGGGACAAGCTTCGTGGACCTCCGCCGCGTCAGTGTCTCGCGATCACATGCCCGCGACGACTAGGCCTAGCCCCGTCGCACTGAACCACCCACATCGGCCTAGCTCACCCCTATCGCACGGCGCATCCTGCCCCTGCCGCGCGGCACCACTAGCGTCCACGCCGGCCTGGCTTCCGCCCGGACTTATTGCACAACGCCGCCCTCCCTGTCGCACTGCACCGCCCGTACCCGCCTGGCCTATACTCGCGCCGGCCACTACCACATGCCCTGGGCCCATTGCACTTAGCCCCCTGCACTGGCCTCTGCCCACGTGACCACGGTCTCTGGTTGGTCCCGCCGCGCAATGCCGCTTGCACATGCGATGGCCACCACCTGGCTAGGCCTCGTCGCACAGAGCAGCCCGCGTTTCCGCGCACACGACCACGCCGCCACAGCCTCCGCCATGCCTCGGCCTCGTCGCGTGGTGTCGTGCTTGCGTCGGCCGTTATGCGACCTGGCCCCATCGCTAGGGGTCTCCCATCTCTCTTCTCTCTTTCTCCATATTCCCTCCCCTCCCTCACCATGCCTAGCGCTGATCAGCTAGCAGTCAAGCACCATGCTACAACGCGTTGACGATGATGAAGGGGCTGACTGGTGTCGAAGCTCCCAGATCTACATTGAAACACTACCCGATGGTGATGGAGAAAGAAGAAGGCCGACGAAGAGGACACACTAGCTGAGTGGCCGGTGATGGTATCGTAGAGTGGCCAAGGGTGGGGAGAGTAGGGAGGAAGAGGAAGAATATGACAGATGGGTCCAAGGTTATTTTTACCTTGCACGCTATTTCTCTCTTCTATTCTACTAGAAATATATATTTTAGTGATTATGGTGTCTAATAGCAAATAACTATATTTTGAAAGTATTTTTTTGAAAGATTGATTTTTGCCGTGTCCAGAAGCTAAAACCGTAGAGTCACAGTTTTGTAGTAAAATTTACCTAATGGAAATGGTTTACCGAGCTCTCTGTACCATTTTCCGAGTTCTCCCCGAATTTCTCTAACATGCCTTTTAGGGTCAATATTCTTGTTGGAAAGACGCAAGGAATCAAAAGGTTCGTGCATGACACCTTCTAAGAAAGTGAAAAGGTTAGCAAGTGGAGGATCTGTAGCATTGACAGTGATAAGTCAAGAAACCATCCTTGACCAGGGGACATTATCTTCCATGGCCACATGCATGGAATTCAGTGTATTTCTAGCATAATCTGCAACCCAGCAACTGTAAAGTGTGACCAAGTAAACTGTTACATGCATGAAATGTGTTCAATAAATTAAGCTAAAGGGTCAGGGTATCTTGTACACAGATTTTTCTTGAAAATCAATAATGAAGTTTTCACTGCCAATACTATTCCGTTTTACTGCCCATGTAAGATTGATGAATTTGGTGATCTCCTGAAACGATGCACAGTGCACCCGACAAGATTGCCCATGCATGGTGGTCTGAACTCTGAAAGCCTGGAACACTGACTACCACCAAGCAGGTTACTCCAAGGAGAGTTTAGCACTAGTGAGAGTGGACCACTGCATGGTACTCTAGGATATTGATGATTGGACTGTCACTACACAGATCTGCACCTCATCTCAACTCTCAAGCGCCATCACATGTGTATTAATGATGCAGGAAAGCGGTTGTGCACCTAGGGCTTGTTCAGTTAATTGCTAAAAACATAAACCTTCTCATTCCTTGGTAAAAATTAAAATTTAGCAAAACGTGGGTGACGACAGGGAGGCCGACGCGGCTAGATCTGGCGCAGGAGGTCATCACTTGCGATGACATGGTAGGGAGGCCAGCACGGCCAACTGCGACGGAAGGTCGGCACGGGCAACACTAAGGGTGTGTTTAGTTCATGCTAAAATTAGAAGTCTGGTTGAAATTGGAACGATGTGATGGAAAAGTTAGAAGTTACGTGTGTAGAAAAGTTTTGATGTGATGAAAAAGTTGAAAGTTTGAAGAAAAAGTTTGAAAATAAACAAGGCCTAGGGAGGCTGGTCCAACCAGCAGTGGGAAGTCAGCGCGGGTGGCAGGGAGGCCGGCCTAGTTGACGGTGGCGGTAGGAACGCCAGCGCACCAACGGTAGCAGTGGGCTAGTGACAGCGTGTGTCACGCTGCCGAATGCTAGCTGCGCGGGGTTGGGGGGGGTCGGTGTAGCGGAGTCCATGGACTGACAATGGATGGTTGGTGATGGAGGAGTTGAGCAACATATACGGTTTGTTAGGGGGTAGGCAGTAGGTGAAAGCCTAGCCTGGTCTTACTAGGGCGACAATGACGGTGCTTTGGGCGCTATTTCCTCTAATGGGGGCATTGTAGAGACGTCCCTTCCCCTTCCTAGTGGGGCCATAGGGTGAAAGTCTTGTCTTGGATCTCACTGAAACATTGACGGACGGCGGCAGTGCTCTTCGTCATTTTTCTTCCTAGAGACGTCGTCTAGGTGGCCTCTCTATCGCCAGAACTGCTCTCGGATAGTTAGTGTGAAGCCCTTGGATGATGACGAGTTGGCGGGTCTACGCAAGGGAGAGGGGTCTTTCTTCTCTCTCGCCCTCTCCCTCTTCAGCGTCTTGTTCCAGCGATGTCTAGGAGTCTTTGCTTAGCTGTTTTGAGTCAGTGTTGGGGGTACAGTTGTAGTGGCGGTCGGGTTCAGTGCTAGTCCTTCCCTTGGTTGTGTAGGAAAAAGGTGACGTCAGTGCGTGGTGGAGGTGTTTTTGTTTCCTTTTCCTGACTATAATCTTTCAGCATTATAGTTTTTTAATTTACTCCTGCTTTATTCAATGAAACTTCATACCGCCTAAGTATCGGTTCATTAAAAAAGATTGAAAAGGGTAAAATGTGAAGTTGTTGTACTTGGTTTGACACCTATCAAATTTTGGTATAGATTTGTGAAGAAGTTTTTGGAATCACCAAATTTTGATAAGATTGTTAAGGTTGCAATCATAAAGTCTTGTTTAGTTTGTTCTGTTGTGCTGGATGCAAAACTGACAGTGATGTCCTTTTCCATCCGGAGGAGTGTGGTAACAAGCAGAACTTTAGTCCATGAGGTTTGGTACTTCTCAATTCTAGGAATATACATATATACATATGCACATGTTAAGTTGATATTTGCATGCCTCTTTAAAGAGTGTGATGCCTTTGACAATATTCTTGTGTAGGTAAGGAGTGTATATATACACTAGTAACCGGAGGAACTGGCTGGGGATTCCCCACCGAGGAGCCGCAGGCGAAAAAAAAACTACGTGTCACGTTTTGAGAGGAGGACAAAAAAAATGTAAAATCGGAGAAAAACGCTACCCTACGAGCTGTTAATATCTATAGATATATATATGCGGTGAATGTGTAGATATTATATGCCTGCTGCACTCTGAAGGGCTTTGAACTTTTGATGTATTTTTAAGTGTGTAAGAACGTATACTCGTGTGAATATGGTCTCTATTGGTTTGTACATCCAAATGAATTAAAAAAATGTTATTTGATTATTACAAGAACATATATACATTTAATTGGAATGCTGAATCTGCATATGCTCGGAGTTAATGATTGTGCGATTACATGAAAGATGTCTCATACGTACACATGTATATATACCACTACGTGTGCGCACCTCACATATCCACGAATACACCCATAAAAAACATTCAACCGCATATTTCAAGCCTAGTAAACTCAGGCTGAAAATGCTATTGTGTACGCGTGTAATATTCGCGGTTTAATATTCACGAGTATCATGATT